TTTGAACAAAGGAAGTCAGTTTTCTGGAGTTCTTGAGGTCTTTTAGTACATCAGATCTCCTTACTCTGGCTGCCAGGCTTTGAGAAAACTGTTGTGGTTTGCGTTGTTTTGATTTCCCCTGGAAAAGGGCCCCTAACTGCCCTCAAATTCCTCAGGGTGCTGGAAACATTCATCTTTGAAAAGTGATGTTTAAAAAAAAAAGTTGGCTTTGTCTGAGGAGCCTCAGAGGGAATTTTAATTAATTCAGTGGTAAAGAAAAATGCTTCCTAGCACTCTCTGAAATAGAAATTTGGTGATACAAAAAATGAATGATTAGCAAAAGCTTCCATCAACTCCTTCCGAGCAGGGAAGGGACAGTATTAGGATGCTAAGTATTATGTACACATTGAACAAATGAGAAACTGTACCTGCCAATGTCAGTTAAGTCAATCAAAAATAATCTTAGTAAGGCTGTGATCAGTAGTTGAATCTGACTCCCGGTACTTTAACCCCTTATCAGAAGATATAATGGCACATAGTAGGTACTCAAGGCAGACCAATCAAGGCTCCCTTGAGGTCTCCAACTCCTCACCCCGTGGTAAGGAACCCTCTCTTGACTGCTGCCTCATCTCACCAGACTGAAAGGTGTCTTAGTTTCAGTTTCCCACATCATAGCCAGAGGAACTGGTACCCACAATAAGTTCTCAAAAAACATTAAAACTCTTGTCTTTCTTGACTCTTGGGGGCTCTGCTGAATTTTCTGCTTCCAAGATAACTCCCTCCTCTCCTAAGTCCAGAGTTGAAAGCCACTCCTCACACAGAAAAGAGCCCAAGCGAGCTATCTATATTCCATAAGAGGAGTGAAAATATGTCACCAGTCGATGCATGTTAAAAAAAAAATTCATCCAATGGCTAAAGGAAGGCATGCATACCTCATTTCACTTCTATGGTTAAAACTGATTCTCCTCAAGCAGGAAAATCCTCTATCTTGAATGTTTACTATACCTCAATCAATAAAAAGAATCTCTCTCTCCACCCAGAGGACAGAGAGCCTTGATTGCTGGAAGACAGGAAACTCCCTCACCCTCCCTATCTCCCTCCCTGTGTCCCTGACCCCCTCCCTTTCTCCTCAGAATCAGCCTCAGGATCAGGATCAGCCTCAGGCCTTGATTAAAGAAGAGTCCATCGCCTTTCTTTCTTTTTTTTTTTAAAGATTTTATTTATTTATTTGAGAGAGTGAGCCCAAGAGGGGGTAGGGTCAGAGGCAGAAGCAGACTCCCTGCTGAGCAGGGAGCCCGATGTGGGACTCGATCCTGGGACTCCGGGATCATGACCTGAGCCGAAGGCAGTCGCTTAACCAACTGAGCCGCCCAGGCGCCCGAGTCCACCGCCTTTCTTAATGTCCCCCTTTCCACCCATCCCGTTCAGCCCCATCCTAACCATCCCCCAATTTGCCTTTCACCCTCCTCCCCTTCCTGCAGCCCTTGCTCAGCTTCTGTCTCCAGGAAGGGCTGCTCTCTCAGCCTCACACTCACTGAGTACCTCATCAGTGGCCAGAAACTATGGCTACAAAGGTGAGCAGCCAGGATTCTCCCTGCCCCAAGGAAGGAACCGGAACTGAAAACTACAAAGTCTAAGGTATGGTGGAACAATAAAAATGCCATGATAGGGTGCCTGGGTGGCTCAGTCAGTTAAGCACCTGCCTTCGGCTTAGGTCATGATCCCAGGGTCCTGGGATCCAGCCCAGCATGGGGCTCCCTGCTCAGCGGGGAATCTGCTTCTCCCTCTCCCTGCCCTTCCCCCACTCGTGCTCTCTGCCTCTCTCTCATGTTTTTAAATAAAATCTTAAAAAAAAAAACCATTGGTCATGAGAACTCCCATTAAGAAAAAAAAATGCCATGATAGGGCAAAGGCGCCTAGTGTGAAGAGCGTGGCATTCAAAGGAATGGTGATGCAAGTCCTCGGGGAGTGAAGGTAGAGAACATGGAGGGGTCAAGGGGCATTCAAAATGCAGTGTTAAAAGGCTTCTGAAATGTTCCAGTCTCACTCCGGAAACAGACTGGAAACAGAGAAACCCTAGGAGCCCTCTGAAATAAGCCAGAGACAGGTTGACAAATGCGTAGCGATCAGAAAGGAAAGTCATGAAAGGAGTCCAGAGCTCCCAGCCAGAAGAGCTAGAGGGTACTGGTGCCATCAATGTAGCCAAGGAAAAGAGCTAGTTGCATTTCTGGGCATGCTGGGTGATGGTGCTGCCAGCATCCCAGAGTGGATGCAGACAGGAGCCAGGATGGAGTCCACTATTGTTTCCAGAATCAGGTGAGTGTGGTCAAAAGCATGCGGCTCTGGAGCCCAACTGCGTGGCTTTAATTCCCAGCTCTTACAAAAATGCTAGTGACCTTGGACAAGTTAGTGTGCCTTTGTTCCTTACCAGTAAAAGGGGGATGCTGATAATAACTGCAACTGCTCTGTGAGATTGTTGCGAACATTAATGAGCTAACATACGTAAAGAGCTTAAACCAGTTCCTGCTACACTGTAAATGCCACATGTGTTTGCTCTCGAGTTTCAAAGTGTCAGTCTCCTCCTAATGGTACAAAACCCTGGACTTGTCCATCAGGAGATGGCGGGGGGTGGGGGGCTAGTTCTGGTGAATCCAAGTTTTCCATGCCTCAGACTACAACCCAGAATATGTAGGATAATGGGGATTTCAGAAGAGTCCAAATCAAGACCTTTTCAAAAGACTCTCTAAAATTAAACTCAAACTTCATCCTTCTCCCCGAATTCATCCTTGTAGCAGCAACTGGAAAAGAGGCTTCTAGGGACACCTGGGTGGCTCACTCAGTTACGTGTCTTCATCTCAGGGTCATGAGTTCAAGCCCCACATTGGGCTCCACACTGGGTGTGCAGTGGAGTCTGCTGAAAAAGAAAAGCTGCTTCCAAAATATTCTGAGGCTCCTCCTACTTCCTATCGAACGGCAGCTGGAATCAAACAGTTTTGCTCACCTAAGCCTAGAGGCCAAGTCCCAGGTTCTGACACCTGGTAAATTAAAGGCCTGACTCTATTCTGCCCCCATTGGTAATTTAGAGGAAATACACCCAGTGTCCACCCAGACACTTCACAGGCTAAAAGGAAGCTGCGAGTGTAGGTAAGAGTCGCCTACAAAAAAGACATGTCTACATTACTGTGTTGAATCATCACAACTCCCTAATGTGGGCAAGGCTGCTGCTGTGACTCCTGTTTTACAAGAAGAAACCAACAGTCCAAAGAGGCAAAGTGACTTGCTCAGGGTCCTGTGGTTAATAAATCACAAAACAAAGATTAGAACTCATTTCCAGATACCCTGGTTTAGTCTCTCTCCGCTCTGGGACCAAAGAGAGGACTCCGAATCCATACCAAGACAGTTTGAGTCTTAGCCTCCTTCCTCTGGATTAGGGGAGAGTAAACTGGTAAAGGAATTACAATGTCCTGGAGTGACAGCTTCCTACTTTAGGATTTGCCAAGGGATGAGTCTTCCCCAAGGGTTAACTCACTTCTTGGGCAGAGAAGCCCATAGAAGTTGCCAAGATTCTGCCGGCTCACAGACACATTCTTAAACTGAATTCAGGGCAGAGCAGAGCCACATCCCAGGAAGCAGAGGGCAACAGTCGTCCACTCAGCCAGCCGCCCTCTCCTCCCTACTGCAGTCTGAGGCTAAGTATTGCCACGTTTTATTTGGGGGTTCATCTGCATCGGCTCTGAAAACACCATGAGGGTAACTCACCATCCTCTACTTTGCTCTGAGAATCCCCAGAATGGGAGTACGATACGAGCAGGTCGTGCGGCACCGAACAACTATTTCAAGACACTATCCCAAATGTGTTCCCTCTAAGACACAGAAATTTCAAGTATGTAATTAAGCAACGCTGTCACTGCCTCACAGTTCTGGCCACCCCCCACCGCCCATCCCTTCTTCTCAAGTCCTAGTGAGGTCCAGGGCCAGGTGCCAATCTTGAAATCCCGAGTATTTCAGAAACTCAATGTTCCCCAGAGTGAGAGCGCCTCAGGCCCAGCCCCACCCCCAACCCCATACCCGGAGGCACCTAGAGCTTGGCTCCCGGCGGAGCCAGAAGCTCTTTCTTATGTAAATGACCTAGCTCAAGAGCTCGGAGGGCTGCCGACAGCGAAGTGGGCAGACCTGTCGGAGTCTCGGGCAGGAAAAAGCTCGTTTACCTAACGAAAACTTTTCAAAGACAAGAAAGCCGGGGGGGGGGTGGGGAACAGTTCGTGTAACTTTTAGTAGTACTAGAAATATCAACCAAAGTTCGCCCCCTACTTGGAGGCGGGGGCCGGGGACTCAAGGCCCGGCAGTCCCAAGGCACATTTGTGGGGGAATGTACGCCCCTCGCTGGGCCTCAGTTCCGGGCGCCTCAGTTCCGGGGAGGGGGCGCGGCGGGCGGAGTTTCTCGGCCGCTGTCCCAGCTCCTTCCCGGATCGGCCTCTCCCCAAGCGCACCTCCGCGAGGCCCTGAGGAACGCCGAGGGGAACCGCAAGTCCCCAGAACGCGATCCTTTGGCACCGGAGTCCCCCGGCAGTCCCACGTGGCAGCGGAGCCTCCCCCCCACCAGCCACGATTCTTCCCCCCACGTGCTCTCGCCGGAACTCCGGCTGCGAGAGGGGGGCTCCTCCCACGTGGGCCCCACAGTCTCAGACTACGTGCCGGGTGACCCGCCCCTCCAGCGGGAAGAAAAAAAAAAAAAGCGCGAGCGCGCGCAGGGTGGCAGGAAGGCAGAGAGCCGCGCGGTGCGCGAGCCCAGGAGCCTCGCACGCGCGCACACGCCTGCCCGTGCCTAGCGGACGTGGCTCCTCGCGCCCAGGAGTTTCCCGGCAGCCCTGACTTTTTCCGCGTCCTCGACCCCGAATGAGGAGGAAGTGGTTCCCCGCAGGGTCGAGGAGAGTCCCGGCCGGCCGGGACCCCAAAGTGAGAGCCGGGACCACACAACTTTGTCAAAGGCGAGCCAGCCGCCCCTGCACGCGCTTACTTACCTTCTGCACTTGGTCATGGTTGAGCTCCGTGAAGAAGTAGGCGAGCAGATGCGAGGCGATCATCCTGCCGCGGTCCGACGGCGCCGAGTTGGGAAACCGAGGTTGGAGCGCGTGCGGGGGAGGAGGACAGCGCGATCCGACCGCTTTGTATGGGGGCTTGGCGGCCCAGCCGGGAGCAGTGAATCCGGACGGCACAAAAAGAAGGCGATGGCACGCTCAGCTTGAGAGTCTAGGGTCTCTGGAAACAGGTTTTGGGAGTCCCGATTGCTAGAAGGAGCCCAAAAATCACTGCTGGCGACGTGTCGGGTTGCCCCACCGCCAAGGTGCTAACTTCACCACAGGATCACTAAAGGCTCCACTTGGGAAGAATCTCGGTCCGGTCTCACTTGGGCGAGCGGACTTCTACGGCTCACACACGCGCTGCCTTGCCCACGGATCTCCTCCGCTTGATGACACGGCGGCCCTAGCGGTGGCTCGGGACTCCTGCTCTGGAGTTTCGTGCAACAATGTGGCTTATTGAGGGGCTGCCGGCTCGCGGGCCTCCGGGTCAGTGACGCGCGCACGCCCATTGGCTGCACGGGGAGGGTGTGTGCGCCCACGGGCCGCCCGCCGCCGCGGCGCAGCCAATCCGTGCGCACGGCCCGCGGGCGCGGCCCCTCCGACACCCGAGCCGGGAAACTGGAGGGGCGCGCCCGGGGCAGGGGGCGGGGCCCGGCGGCAGGGATGGGACGTGTGGTCCGTGGCTAGAGGCTGGGGCGGAAAGGCGCATGAGCCACTGCCGCGTCAGGCTCAGCTATGGGTGGGGGGCGCGTGATCACAGACCCAGCGTGTGGGACGACTGGAAAGACGGGTCACCCGACCAGCACGTGCCTTGTGCGGGGAGAGGGACACCGTCTGGTATCTCGGGGTCATGTGAGGGGCCCCCACTGCTGGGTCACATTTCTGAAACCTCTTAGTCCTCACCTGTTGTGGCTCAACAGGGCGCTACGCTGAAGCAAAACTGAGGCGCCGCCTTAGCTGCGGCTTACTTTATGCCAGGCATCACAAAACGGATAGGGGGTGGGTTTTGCTAACCTCGTTTTACAGATGAGGAACCCGAGGCACGGGCCGTTAAGGGACTTGTCCAGAGTCACACAGCTATGTGCCAGATGGAGGAAGGAACCCACGCCCGTCTGACTCGGAGGCCCAATTCTTTTCCCTATTTTCCTATCCTATTGGTCTAAGAGCCCAGGGGAGTAAACGGCAGGAAAGGAGCTATATCTGCAGCTGCGGGACGGACGCACGCGTGGGTGAAACTGGTGGGTGCTTAGTGTGTACCCCAGTGATCCTGGACGTGTGTGGGGTGAGGTGGCTTAGGGATGCTGAGAGGAGTGGGAGGCCCAGCCACAGCTAATGCCTGGCGCCAGACTCTGAGTTTACATATGCGGTGGCAGCCGGCAAGAATGAAATGCAGACTGATGAAGACAGGGGACGGATGCTTGTGGAGAAGAGCAAGCCTGGGGTTGGAGAGGTCGCTGAAGAGCTGCTGTATTCTACTGAGGAGTTTCTCCTCTCATAACCAGTTGGGTGCTATCTACAATGTATACATTATTATAGCATTATGTAAGTAACAAATGTTCATGGTTGGAATATACAGAAATAAATAGAAATAAAAACATCCATGATCCAGCCTCTCCGCAAAACTTCTTGCCAATTACACATTCACACCTCTCCTTCCCCGTACTCCAGTCAGGCCTGGGTCCCAAACTGCTTTTGTCACAGTCACCATAATGACTAACCTGTTGCCAAATCCTGTGTTCTTATCCCTTTTCCACCCTTGTCTTACTCCACTTCTTGGGATACCTGCACACAGTTGACCGAATCCTGCATCCGGACACACCTTCCTCTGTGGGAGCTGGGGAAGCTCCACCCTTCTGATGTCCTTCAGGGTCCTCAGACCCTGTTTTCTCTACCAGTGAATGCTGGAGTATTCCAGAGGCTGTCCTCCACCCTCTGATCTGGTTATGCTCTCTCCCTGGGTGATCCCTCCCAGCCTCAAGACTGTTGTATCATCTATGTGCTGGCAACTCGCAGATGTAAATCTACACCAAGGACCTCTCTAGGAGCTCCAGATTTACTTCTCCAGCAACCATTTGTCATCTCCAGTGAATGACTAGCATCTCACACTCAACATGTCCAAAGCCAAACGTAACTTTTCTTCCCTAATCTATTCCTTTCCCAGTTGTCTCAGCAAATGACATCACCATCCACCCTAAGTCATCCTTAATTCCTTCCTGCCACTCACCTTCATATCCAGTCAGTCCATCAGCAAGCAGTCTATTTTACCCATAAAATAAATCCTATAACTGACCACTTCTGTTCATGTCCTTGGACATCTTGGACACAGCCGCCAACAACTTGGCCAGAGCCAATACCCCCTCAGCCTACCTTGTCCCTGCTTCCATTCATGCTTGCCTCCCTCCTGACCCCGGCACAATCTTCTCCCTCGGGGACCACAGTGACCTGTTGAAAAGATAAACCATTCTATGTCTCTCCCTCCCTCATTCCAAGCCATCTGTCTAATGGTTTCTAATCCTAGAATAAAATTCAAAATCCTTCTGTCTGGAATATCCTTCTCCAGCTCTGTGTTCAGCTGACTCTTGTTCCTCACTGAGGATCAGCTTAAATATCAACTCTTCTTCAGAGGACTTTCTTCTGATCAGTTTATCTCAAGTGGTTCCCCCAGTCACTCTCATGTGGCCCGGATTGATTCCCTACTGATTTTCCTATTGTTCTTTCTCTGCTTGCTAGACTGTGAGCTCTAAGAAGGCAGGATCTGTATCTGTTTTGTTCCCTCATATCTGCAGTGCTTAGAATGGTGCCCAGCACACGGTAGGCACACAATAAATGTCTGTTGAATATCTAAATGAGTAGAAGAAATTTTAGAAATAACTATTGTTCGGGATGCCTGGGTGACTCAGTTGGTTAAGTGTCTGCCTTTGGCTCAGGTCATGATCCCAGGGTCCTGGGATTGAGCCCTGCATCGGGCTCCCTGCTCAGCGGGGAGTCTGCTTCTCCCTCTACCTGCCGCTCCCCCCTGCTTGTGTTCTCTCTCTCTGACAGATAAATACATAAAATCTAAAAAAAAAAAAAAGAAAGAAAGAAAGAACAATACACACACATACAGAGTTTATAGTTTTATATATTATTTCTCTAATCTTCTCCACCTCTAGATCTTTCCTAGTTCACACACCCAACATCTCTCACATGACTGAAACGGCCTCGGTAACTGGACTTCCCTCTTTAGATAAGATATATAGGTTTAGCTATCCAACAGAGCTTCTTAGAGAAGGGATGTGATCAGATTTGTTTTTTTAGGTCAATAGCTGCCCTGGGGGTGGGGGGTGGGGGGAGGGGGATTAGAGACCAGAGGCAGAAAGAGGCCTAAGCTGTAAGGTAGGACCAAAGCCTGAACCAAGGTCGGGGAGAGACAAGGTGTCAGGCTACAGGTTTAGAGGTTTTAAAGTCTGAGGTAGAACTGACACCTTGGGCTGGGAGTGGGGGATAAAAAGGAGGATGCCTGCTACCTGGAAATACTTGGAAGTCCAGCGCTATAAAACCTGTTGGCCCCACAGCTCAGTCGGTTAAGCATCTGCCATCGGATCAGGTCACGATCCCGGTGTCCTGGGATCGAGTCCCACATCGGGCTCCTTGCTCAGCGGGGAGCCTGCTTCTCCCTCTGCCTGCCACTCCCCCTGCTTGTGTGCTTGCTCTCTCTCTCTCTCCCCACCGACAAATAAATAAATGAAATCTTAAAAAGAAAAAAACAAAAAAACCTGTTGGCCCCAAGCAGGTGGGACCAAACCCCATAGGTCCTGTCAGCTATGATCCCTTCTCTATACACTGACTTTAGAGCCTCTTCTCCACTCCCCTCTCTGGCCCCATTTCATATGGACTGGATAATAATCACAAGGGGCCTTAAGTACACATACTCTCTTCTGAAGGCCCTAGTCCCAGGAAGTAGTTAGAGTAAGTATTGTTATAAGCCCCAATTTATACATAAAAAACTAAGGGTAGTCTCACAGGCTGAGGCTTGTGTCTTGTGTCCTCGATTTTTCTAGCTCTAAATTCCATGCCTGGAGTATATGATTTATTGGCTCTTAGATCTCTCTCTCACACACACACACATTTAAGAATAATGAGACACCCGTGTAATTTATACTTAACAGCCCCAAGAGAGAAATTAATCAGCAAATATTTATTAAACAGACCCTTACAATGTTCATGACAGTCTGTTCAGTGCTGTAAAAATTATAAAAGAAACAAGATGTGGTTCTCGCCCCCTGAGGGATTAATTGTTTAATCAGAGCTACAAAGCCAACACATAAAACAATTATAGCAGAATGGAAAAGTCTATCACTGAGAGCCAAACGTGTGTGTGTTTCTATGTGATGGAGTTTCAGAGGAGGAAGAGACAGAGCCGCAGGCCAGAGTCAGCCAAGGGTGGTCTGATGAATACAAATGTCAGCTTTTACACCAGGCTGGCTCTGGCCTTATATAAGACTGACCTGCACCTGGCCATCAGCTTTTAGGGAGTTGTCCTGGGAAGAGACCACTTGACCAGAAGACATATTCCTTTTTCTAAATAGGATTTATCAAGTTTGAAGCAAGTTATAAGTGATGGGATTATGTAGATTTTAAGAGGGAGGGTGGGCCTTCCCTGAATGTAAATACTTAAAAGACTCCTTGCACTGTGTTACCTTTAACACTGGGCCCTAATGAGCTCCATGATCTCTTGTGTTTCACAGTTCAATTATAATGAATGAGTTCGGGAAATTGGTGGGGGGAGGTACTGAAAGTAGTTAAAATAGAAAATGGAAGCCACAAGATACACAACAACCTCATTTTATCTGTCAGATTTGCAAAAAGAACCTATTCAAGCTAGTTTAAGCAGAAAAAGAGTTAATGGACGAATATTTAGTCTCTTTTAAGATCTTCAGGAGGGCCAGAGAATCAGGCTGACAGGCTTGCCATTCAAGAGTGATGCCCAAGTTATATCATCAGACTCTGCCAGTGGAGATGCTATTGCTCTGGCCACTGGGCTCAGGTATCTCTGCCCACACTCCTGATGCTGGACACAAGATTAGCCAGGACAGGCCACAGCCACCTTTAACAACTGGCTGTCTGTCTCTCAGGATCCTTCCTAGAAGGAATTCTGCACAGCACCTCCTTTATGGTGCTTGCATCCAAACTGACATCTTGTACCTCATTGCTGGAGCTTAAGCCACATGCCCATGCCCTAGCTGCAAGGGAAGCTGGGAAAGCAGCCCCAGGAATCAGGAGTTGTAACTTGGAGAAAGGGGCTAGATGAGCCCAAAGCTTGATAAACACCCAGCACACCCAGCAGTCACTGAATATGCTACCTTGTAAAGTTTAAAGGGCCCTTAAACAAATTGGCTTCCTAAAAATCCAAAATATATCAAAAGCATTAAAAAGAGCATTGTGGCATGCTGAGGCTCACATGGGAATGCCATGTGGTCTTGGGCCTCCGTGAGCTCCAGTTTCCTCATCTGCAAAGTGGAAATCATGAGATGGAATATTCA